GGGCGGGGGTGGGGGGCACAGCTGAGACGCTAGCGGAGGGGACTCGTCCAGGGTCGGCTTCGGACAGGCCAGCAAGCTCTCCCAGGAGCGTGGGCCATGGGCGGGCCAGGAAATGACCTGACGCGGTGAGCGGACAACAGGGCAGAGTGTAGTGAGAACACTTCTTCCCTCACATTACAGAGCAAGTCTCAGTCCTGGGCCAGGGCATTTTGTTTAATGAATTAACTAATTAATTTTTTTGGGGGGTGGGGTGGGGACTAGGGCATTTTAAAGACCTTTCTAGAACTTGCTGAGCTCCCATTTTAACGAGGGAGGGCGTGCAGGCTCAGCTCACAGCCCTCTGCAGGAAACAACATAAAACTGGTTTTGTTTTCACTGTCCTGTATGCCGTTACCTACTTTTCATAGGAAAGAATATTGGTTTCTGATTGCAACAATCATTAGAAGTTTCCCTTTAGATTACAGTGGTTCTCAATCTTCCGGCCCTTTAAATACAGGTCCTCATGCTGTGACCCAACCATAAAATTACTTTCGTTGCTACTTCATAACTGTAATGTTGCCACTGTTATGAATCGTCATGTAAATATCTGATATGCAGGATGGTCTTGGGCGCCCCCTGTGTAAGGGTCATTCAACGGCCAAAGGGGGCGCGACCCACAGGTTGAGAATCGCTGCTTTAGAATAAGTATATTAAACCAAACAGAAACACTCAGAGTTGATCTAAGGAAAACCTGACATAGATGATGGCAGGGACGGCTTGTAACTGCGAAGTTAGGAAACACAGGACCAGATGCAGCCAAACCCCCTGCAGTCCAGAATCGAGGCGTCCACGTTTCTAAAACGCTGCACCTCCTCATTCCTGCCTCAACCCAAATTCCTGGGCTACCGGAGAAACTCCCGTGGCTCCCAGCTGCCCTCTGCCACCTCCAGCCTCCCAGCCCAGGCAACTGAACGCGTCACCGAGGGCCCTGGGAGCGGCCTCCCCCTGTGGCTCTGGGCCTCCCTGGCTGACTGCAGGGCCCCGTGAGCAGCAGTGGTCCAGGGGCCGGCGCTGTCCGCAGTGCCCGAGCCCGAGCCGCTGAGCCCCACAAGTGGCTAATCCGGCCAGTGTACACAGGGCAACAGGAAACCCAGGTCCCAATATGGATGTGGGGAGTTGCTCAAGAAAGAGTTTTCTCTGATTATAAAACTGTATGCTTTTTATAAAAAAAGTAACATGGAGCCCTGGCCGGTGTGGCTCGTTGCTTGAGCGACCTCTCATGCACCATAAAGTCGCTGGTTTGATTCCTGGTCAGGGTACATGTCTGGGCTGCAGGCTGGATCCCCAGTAGGGGGTGTGCCCGTCTCACATTGATGTTTCTGTCTCTCCCTCTCCCTTCCTCTCTAAAATCAATAAAACATATTATTTAAAAGTAATCTAGAAATTATAAAGAAGAAAATAAAAGGCACCTCCAATTTCATGACACTGGAGTAGCCACTGCTAACATTTAGGCAAACCTTTGTTTTGGCACCATTTGTGTGTGTGTGTGTGTGTGTGTGTGTGTGTGTGCGCGTAAGTGCACAATTTTACTATAATATATATTAAATGTCTTTGCTTTGAAACATCTTTCCCACTAAACAGTCTTCTGTGAACACTGATCAACTCAATGAAATGATTACGTACAATACCATTCTTTTAAAAGGCTGCATAATATTTCATAATACTACTGTTTATTTAGTCAAGAAGGAACATTTCCATTGTTTCCAATTTACTCCCAGTAGAAACAACACTGCAATGAACAACGCATCTGGTTACCTATTGAGGGTAACCTTCTAGAACTGGGGTGAAAGTCAAAGGTGTGCTTTGGTACAGACCGGGACCAGGGCCTCAGAGGGGACATCTAGTGACCACCCCCCCCCTCTGGAATATGAAAACTGGTCTATAATTTGCCTTTTGGGATGCTTAGGCTGTTAAAAATCAGCATTATTTAGCTTTCATAAAAATAATTTGTAGACTTTCCATTTGCTTTCATATACTAGAATATTTTAAATAGGACTGGAATTATTTTCTTCCTTGAGAATGTGAAAGATTCCACTCTTGGAGATGTGAGGTTTTCTATTTGTTTGTTTTACTCTGAAATTTTATCAGTCTTACTTTTTATTTATTTGCTAATTTATTAATGTATGTCTTTATTTTATTAAGCACTTCCTTTGCTTTTCTTAAGATTACTTTGCTATTATATTTCTAATTTATTGAGTTAAGTAATTAGTTTATATTCTTTCTACTGAATAACAAAATTGTTTAAGTCTCTGAATTTTATTCTTATTTCAGCTTTGGCTGAATCTCACATGCAATATTGTCAATGTTCTTATTTTCTAGTCTCCCTCCCCACCCCCCAGTCACAGTTTTTCTTTTTCTACCTCTATTTTTCATTTCTTATTTTTCTAGATTTCAGGTGGACATAACTGGTTGAGTTACAATGTGTGATTTATAGCACACTGTCATCTCTGGTCCATGTATAGTCTCTTTATTTTATTTATTTGCCTAGTTATTAATGTAATTAATACCCATGAATCTACCAGCAAAATAGTTTTTGTTTACCCCAAGGTTTATTTTAAAATGACCTTTACATTTCTAAGGGTTTGTTTTTAATCTTTCTTTTTTGCTATATCTAGACTCACTGTTTAAGTGTTAGCTATTATTATTATTAGGTTAGCTCAAATTTAGTAAAATCTAAAATATTTAGATTGCCTATTGTCTTGTTCTTTCTCTTTGCTTTGTCAATAACTAATAGGAGCCCACTTTGTTTTATGTCTCAAGCTTTTTACCTTGAACTCAACCTTGTTTAATATTAACAAACAAAAGCACTCTGGTTTTGGTTGTCATTTGCCTGAAATACCTTATTATTTCACTTTTAATATTTCTGAGTCACAGTGTTCCAGGATTGTCATTTGAGAGCAATAGCTGAAGCTTTAAAAAAAAAAAAATCTATTCAGAGTCCTTTTCTTTTAAAAGATGAATTTTATCCAGTTACATTTATTATTAAAACACATGTTTGATCTTGCCTCTGCCATATTATTTTCTGTTGTCCTGTTCACCAAAGGGTGATGGTTCGATTCCTGGTCAGGGCACATGCCTGGGTTACAGGCTCGATCTCCAGGAGGAGGAGTGCAGGAGGCAGCCGATTGATGTTTCGCTCTCACATTGATGTTTCTCTCTCCCTCTCCCTTCCTCTCTCCATAAAAGTGAATAAGAAATCTAAAAATGTGAACTTCTCTCTTACTTTCTCATCATTCACCTTGGGCTCCCTTAAAAAACCCCAAAAAGAACTAATAAGGAAGTGGCGAAATCTCCCTGTACTATTGCACTATTGTCACTACCCCCGCCCCCACAATGGTTTTGCTTATAATAAGTGCTATACAATCCCAAGCAAATAGATTCATCATAGTTATATATATTTTTTTGTTTTATTTTATTGATTTTTTACAGAGGGGAAGGGAGAAGGATAGAGAGCCAGAAACATCGATGAGAGAGAAACATCGATTCAGCTGCCTCCTGCACACCCCCAACTGGAGATGTGCCCGCAACCCAGGTACATGCCCTTTCAGATCGCAGGCCGATGCTCTATCCACTGAGCAAAACCGGCCATATATTTTTAATATGGGTGGGGACCCTCTTTGTTTTATATCTCAAGCTTATTACCTTGAACTCAACCTTGTTTAATATTAACAAACAAAAGCACTCTGGTTTTGGTTGTCATTGTTGTCATTTGCCTGAAATGCCTTATTATTTCACTTTTCATATTTCTGAGTCACAGTGTTCCAGGATTGCCATTTGAGAGCAATAGCTGAAGCTTTTAAAAAAAATCCATTCAGAGTCCTTTTCTTTTAAAAGATGAATTTTATCCAGTTACATTTATTATTAAAACACATGTTTGAGCTTGCCTCTCCCATACTACTTTCTGTTTTCTGATTTAACGCTTCCTTGTTGCTTATTTTTTCCCCCTATCTTTTACTGTAAGATCTATGTTTTCTTTCAGTAATTTGGAAGGGATATATAGTCTGCTTTCCGTCAAACAAGTTTATAACTTGAAATAACATACTGAGACTTCTTTTCTCAATGTATCACTGACATTTTTTTTTAACACTGCTTGGCTGCCTACCCTGATTAGATGCATCTTCGCTTGCCAAAACTCCTCCTCACGTATGCCAGGCTGAGTTTTTCCTCCACAGCCCAGACTCAGTGGCTCTGGCTGCCCTTGTTTGTGGTTGTTTAAAAACAAAACTTAACATATTGTCAAATCATCCTTCTCTGAAGTCTGCAGAGATTTCGCTCTAGCTGCCAATGGTAAAACAGCGGAGTCTGCAAGTCATGGGTCTGGGCCAACCCCGGAACAGGAGTGGGGCAGTCAGGGCGGAGTGGGAGGCTCAGGGGTTTAGAAGTGACAGCCACAGTGCCTCCTCATGGCCTGCCCCACCGGGGGCATCACAGACGGGAGGCACAGAGTCTTGGATCAAAGTGACCCTTTCCCACTCTGTAGTCCCAAGCAGTCCTGTCAGTCGCTCATCCCCAACAATATCAGGTGCTTGCTCCCTCTGGGTCAGGTAAGTTTGTTTCTTCTGCCGTCTTGATCATCCCTCTCCCTGCTCAACAGAACCTTCTAGAGCCTTCTCCAGGGCTGTTCTATTTCTTCTAATAGGGGATCTGAGAGATCAGAGTTGGGTGCTTGGGAGCCAGATGAGGGCATCCCTGGAAGGCCTCACTGCTTCTCTAGGGCTCAATAAACCTCCCTGTCCTCCACAGTCCTGTTACGTCTGCTTCCTCCAGGAAGCCTTCCTGATTGCTCCAGTTCCCCCTGACCTCCCATCACCCTGAGTCATCTACTCAATTTTGCTCAACTTTCTTTTTTTTGTTAATATATTTTATTGATTTCTTACAGAGGAAGGGAGAGTGACAGAGTTAGAAACATTGATGAGAGAGAAACATCGACCAGCTGCCTCCTGCACACCCCCTACTGGGGATGTGCCCGCAACCAAGGTATGTGCCCTTGACCGGAATCGGAGCAGGGACCCTTCAGTCCACAGGCCGACGCTCTATCCACTGAGCCAAACCGGTTACGGCTGCTCAACTTTGTTGAACTGATCTTTGACTCTCTCAAACCTGCTTTGTCTGGTTTCCCCAATTACATAGGGATCCCCTGATGCCAGGGCCAGCGTCTCCTCCTCCTGTTGCTCTCCCATGGCTCACAGGAGCAGACAGAGGAGAGCTTGGAGGAGACCTGTTGAACCAATGGACGGTCAGGACAGAGGACTCTGGAATCTGTCTGGGTTCAAACGCCACACCTGCTGCTGGTGGGTGGCGGTGCCTTGGGCGAGCTACTTAATGTTTCTACAGAAGCCTGGTGTGGGGTGAAATATAAACACATGTGAACAACACAGCTTGGTCCCAGCCCTGGAAAACCTGGTGTAAGTGGAGCCACCACTGTCGTCTCAGCCAGAACCGTGAGTTGCACTGGATCAGCCTGATGGGGCGCCTGAAGCCGGGCACAGTGGGGAGACGGGGGGACGGGGGGCTCCCTCTCCACCGTGTGCTGGTGTGGTACTCATGCACCTATGGGGTTTCTTCTGCTTTGAGCCCTTCGTATGTGCTGTTCCCTCTGCTTGAAGTGCCTTTCCTCTCTTCATCCTGGTGACCGATGGTCAGGTGTGTGAGGCTGGAGGCCTGTGACCTATACCAGCTGTGCACTGTGACCTGGGGCGGATCACTGCCCTTTCATGAAACAAGGGGGCCTGGACCGATGCTGCTGCTGAGCCCTTCCCGCCCGGACCTCCCTCTGTGCTCTCAGGTGTTGAGAGTTTGGAGCTGATTCCTGATCTAGGGCCCTGCGAGAGCACATTTTCAGCAGAGGTTCTGCCCCCATTCCTCACCCAGCTTTCCAGCTGGAGCCTCCCTTTCCCACCCTCCCCTCCTCCGCCACCCCTCCCTGCCCAGCCTGCATCCCCGGGCGGGTACCAGAGCTCCGCTGCTGAGCAGGATCATGAAGATGATGAAGGTCTCGAACCAGCTGTGCTCCACGATGTGGTAGCAGGTCTTGCGCAGTCGCCACCAGACCTTCCCTGGGGCCTGCGTGGTGTCCACAGTGCAGCAGGGACAGCGCCGGACACAGCCTGTGGGGGAGGGAGAGGGGTCAGGCCCAGGCCAGGGGCTGTGGATGCCCATGTCCGACGGCAGGAAGTTTGGTGGTTGAAGGAATGACCGGGAGACAGAGATGACCATGGTGGGTGATGAGCAGGGCTACATGGTGGTCGGGGCCATGGGGGGCAGGGGGGACTGTGGGTGCTGTCTGCTCTGCCCACACTCAGCAGGCACTCTGTGCAAAGGCCACATGGACCAGGCACCCAGGGAGTGGAGGAAGGCCCCGGCTGGGGCTGGGTGGGCTCCATCTTATCCTCTGCTCATCTGGGAAACCCTCCCCCTGCCAAATGTTCCAGAACGCCCTGGGCTGCTCTGTCCTTGGGCCTGCTCCATGTTTGCAATTTCTGAGCCTTGGATGGGCCCTTCACTGGCAGCCCCAAATGATGTGCCACGTGGAGGACAATCCCTCATTGTATCCCCAGCTGCCCTCCAAATACACCACCCATTCACTATAAAAGCTGCAGATGCCCGTCACCATGCCAAGGCCTGAGGGGGCAGCGGTGAATGAGACCCAGGCCCTGTCACTGTGGGAGCGGACAGTCATGCTACCACCCCACAGAGGCAGTGGCACCAGTCCCTTTGCAGCTGACCCACAGCTGCCCAGCCCAGCAGACAGCTGGCAGACTCGCCAGGACTCACATCATGATGGAGGAGCCCCCAGGGCCCTGAAGAATGGGGGAGGGAGGGGAGGCAGCCGGGCCAGGGTGAGGTGTAATATGGCCCCGGCATCCAAGAGCTGCTGGTCCTCCCTGCCCCTCCAGGCAGGGCTGAGGCTGGGGCAAAGGGCCACCCAGGAAAGACCTTCGGTGAAGCAGTCCTCCGGGTCCTTGACGTCCTCGCCGAGGTCAGGGGTCTGCTCCAGGAGGTCCGCGGTGACGGTCATGTCTGCTGTGCTCCCCTCGGAGTAGCTGTCCTCGTGGGTCTGTGGGCGGGAGTGAGGGGAGGGTGGGCAAGGACATGAGTGTGGGCCATGTAGCAGCCTCCAGCCCCGAGCCTGGGGAGTCTGGGGCTCCCGGAGGGGAGGTACCCCCACTATTATCCATTAATCTCCCGGGGAACCTGAGCCCGGGATGAATGAGAACCGGCCCCAGAGGTCACCTAGGGCCAGTCAGCGCTGAGCTGAGGCTGGACCTCGGGCTTCTGGGTCTGTGGTTCTGGTCGGCTGGGGTCTAGGGCAGGGGTGGGGGGAAAATATGGGGCTAAAGCATCAGTCCAGCTGGGAACAAAACAGACATCGGTGGCAACACAGAAACAGACTGGCACAAGGGCACATGGCACAGGGGGGTAGGTTGGCACACGCAGAGGAAACAGGCATGCCACACCCAGAACAGAGTCGGAACCAGCATCCTGGCACACGTAAGCACGAGGTCAGACATGCAGAGAACAGGTCGGCAACCCACCCCTGCTCCCCCCCCAATTTGTGTGGGTGCTGGCGTGAGGCGCAGAGTCTGCAGTAAGAGCGGGAAGGGGCTGGGCCGTTCCCGGCCTGGCACGCAGGGCTCTGCTGCCTTGACCGCACGTAACCTGATTATAGCGAGGGGTGCGCACGCGGTGTGCCCTGTGCGTGCCTGCGTGTGTCACGTGTGAGTGCTGGCTGTGGGGCCGTGGCGCTCTGCCCGGTTCCCCTCCTTCAGGCCAGTGCACCCATCCCAGCCCCTGTGAGCACTGGCTGCCGCCTGGCTCCATCTCCAGAAAACTGTCTTTAGCCTGGGAGCTGCCGTCTCTGGAAATTGCTTGGGGGTTGCCATGAAAGCCAGCGTGGGGGACAGATATGGAGGGAACAGAGCTGAGGCCAGAATCCAGCGACCACACCTCACCACGCCTCCGCCTCATCCTGCGTCTCTTCCTGTGGGTGTCTCCGGAGAGCGCTCCCTCCTTGGGTCCTTGGGGCTGGAAGCCCGAGGCAGGCTCTGCCTCCAGGAGCCCACCTATGGACAGGAGGCCGGGCAGGGCTTGTGGGAAGGAAGGGAGCCTTCACTGGCTTCAGCTCATGTCTCCATCCTCAGCTCAGTGGCCGCCGCATTGTGCAGGCTCGTGCCCCACGTAGAGGTGTGCAGTCTGAGATCTGGCGCCCCTGCTCCTCCCACTGCCTTCCCTTCTCTTCCTTCTGGGACAGGACGAGCTCCGCTGGTGTCTCCAAGTCCTCAGTCTTAGCATTTGGCTTTAACATTTAGACTGCGATGGGGAAGCGCTGGTGGGAACGGAGAGCGCCCTCCGCTGGGCAGGGTGGAGCCATGGTGCAGGGCGAGGCGCTGCCTTCGTGGTCCCCGCTGCCAGGAGGGTCATCCCTTTCCTCCCAGCTCCGTTTTGGACACTGAGCTGGGACAGGCACAGCCGGAGGTCTTCACCCTGCTCTTCCTTTCACACATGGGAGCTGCCCCCAGGATGCGGGCTTGTCACCAGGGAGGCCGAGTTCTCAAGATCCAATGAGGTGATGGGGTCCTTCTCCCAGGAGCCACCAAACCCGCTCCAAGGCCAACAGTGCAGTAGGAAAGCCCTACTCTCCATGACTTTCGGTCCCTCGTGTCTTCCTGTTCCCAGGTGCCTTCTGCTGCTGTCGGGGTGATGGCCCCACCAGGCCCTCTGGCTCCCAAACTGGCCTCGATGGCAGAGCTTCCCACAGGCCCAGCCCATGCCATGGACAAGGCAAAGGAGAAATGTCCCCTTGGAGCAGATCTCAACTGCTGGCCTGAGGCCTGAGGTCAGGCTGCTGGACAATGCCCCGCCCCCGGCCCCGCCCCCGCCCCCAGGGTCTCGCAACACATGACCTCCAGCTTCCAGGGTGTCTGGCCTGAGTGGGAGGGGGTGGGGGGTGGTCAGCGGGGCCACGGTCTGCTAGCACAGGGGCCACACACACAGATGCGAACGGGGGCCAGGCCGGTCATTAAAGGGAGCCAGGCGGGTGGGCTCTGAAGCGAACCAGAGCCCCACTCCGGGCGGGCGCAGCGGCCACTTGCCTCCAGCAGGGCGGCTCTTCCAACTATTTTTCAAGCGAAGCCAGAAATGCAGATTTTTTTTTACATAAAAGCTCCCAGGTTTTAAGTGCTGGTGGCCAATTCAGATTAAAACCCTTTTTGTGGTCAGAACAAAGCCCTCTCGTAGGCCTCCCATTTGCGGCCTCTGCTTTAGCCCCGTGAGAAGCAGCTGGTGGCCGATGCACCAAGAAGCCAGGCACTTGTTCTCAGAGCTCCCGGAAGTCCCCTGGCAGGGGTGGGGTGGGGGGTGGGGGTGGGGGTCTTCACAGGACACATGGTTGCTGAATGGGACAGAAGCACAGAGACCGAGGAGGGGTGAACACATGGAGGTTTGGGGTTAGTCCTGCAGCGCAGTCCTGTGATCGCAGCTTCTAGAATTTCCCGTGGCTCCGGGACCCACGCCATCGCACCCTCCCCTGCGTGGACAGGGCTGCCCGGGGTCCCCTCTGCAGATGGTCTCCCACACGGCCGGCGCCGGCTGCTGTGGGTCCCACCGGCCCATGCAGGCTCCAGCCCGAGGCAGCACCCCACTGGCTTCAGGGGCACAGGTGTGCGTTACCTCACTGCACCCTGGGGCCCGGGGCTCCTCTCTGCGCTGCTGCCGCCAGTCCGCCTGGGCCGCACTGGCCTCGGAGGAGGCGGTCTCTGACACCTGGCTCCAGGCCCTGGGCTCCGGAAGGGCCTCTGGGCCGCTGGACAGGCTGGG